AATGTCCATAAAGTTCCAACTTTGAAAAATACCCGGGTACTAATCAAGTTTCATAAGTTTCAACTTTGAAAAGTACCTGGGTACTAACCATAGTTAAGTCTTTATATATGGTGAATAATATCTGGGTCTTAATCAAGGGAGGTACTATTTCTTGGGGGTCTTTATGCAGTGCTCTACGGTATTTGTATTGTAATTTTGTTAATTTTAGTCTATTTGTAATGTATTATATATTAAAATGAAGCTGAATCTTTTTGTATTAAGGAATATTAGATGTTGACTTAATAGAATTTTGAGTTTTGGCTAGTTGAAGTAAAATTTAGAAAATTGGTTATAATTTTGTAATGAAGAGCTTTAAAAGTTTAGAACAGGGTTGCTTATAAGTAAAATTTACTGTAAAACAGTTTTACTTAGGTGGCCAAAGTAGGTTTACTTAATAGAATTTAGAGAATAGAGTGATTATTTTTAGAAAAAATTTGGTACAAGTGATCATTGAGAAAAGTTAGTGATTTGCATCTTATACTTTCAATTATTTAAAGGATTTTTATATATTACATATAATAAAAAAAATATACAACCGAATTTTTTTCTTCTATATGATTATTATTAATCATTATTTTAAGTTTTTTTATATTTTTTTTGCTTAACAAATAATTTTGTCGATATAATAATTGTTAATTATTTATAACTTTGGCAAGCAAAGTGCAATATAAATTTGTAGGATTCAGTAAGATTCAGTTGATATTATTAAAAAATAGTGCGAAAACTTCAAATTTCTTAGTATGTTTAGTCACATATTTTAGAAGAGATTCATTACCTGAAGCCCCTTAAACCCCTTAAAAATAGCATTGTAATAATTGAAAATCGAATTTGATTGGCCATGGCTTTTTAATAGAAGTATTGTAAAACATATAAAAAAAAATCATGTAACAATCAGATGATTCAGAGAATTATTTCTCAATTTGGAATAGTCTTATCTGTTTTCTATATCAATATTGTCATAGAACAGTTGTGAACAGTAAGCTTGGACATTTTGGATAATTTTGAACAATTAAATAAATTCAAATTACTCAAAATTTTATTAAGATAACCTACATTAATTTCTAAATAAAATATGTTCAACATATAAAAAAATATATAATTATTTATTTTTTAGGTTTATATAATTTAGCGCATATAGGGTGTGATGACTTAGTGAAGTGGTGAAGTTGTCACACCCCCAAGTGGTTGAGTACAAGTTCAATTTCTACTTGAGACGAAAATTAAATTTCGAAAAACAGATTCGGCAAGTATCGTCATAGCTGGGAAAACTCGAGACCCTGTAACTGTGGTCATACCAATTCATTGGAACTGGAAGATCTTGAGGTCTCTGTGTAACATATGAGTTACATGAATGATCTTTAGATCGCAGAAAGCTACAGGGCCGATATAGCGGTGCAGCGCCCGCTTTGCAAGTCCCGAATAGAGAAGTAACACAGATCTTCGATGGTACTACGTAAAGGATTATCATCGGAAGAACTGGCAAAAACTGAATAGGACCGAGTGTTTGGCAAAACACTCCACCAACCAGGCCACCGGAGAAGTAACTGGAAGAAAAGAACCCAACCGTGGAGACCAGGGCAGGTCACAGCCCTTCTGGGCTATCTGGATTGGTAGTTTGGGATAGTTGAGGATACATAGATGGTCTGTAATGTGTGTACCGAGATTTGGGTGAACTCTATAAGGACAGAAGTAGATAATAGTAACGGTTTCGGCTCGCAAGTCCTTGTTCTTGGACTCGGGCATAAGTTACTAAAGCCTAGGTTAGCCAGATTGTGGGTACAGAAAGCTCTAACAGGTTTACCTCGAGGACAAAGGGTTTGCTAGTTGAGCCTACTTTAAAGTCCTAAGTCTGGATTCTTAAAGAATATACTCTAAAAATTCGGTTATATATAGGTTGACTTACATATGGCGCAGAGGGTTTAAATAGGTAACCCCCTAGTTGGGTTATAGGTATGACATCTAGTATAGAACTTAGTAATAAGCGGACTACTTAAATAGGCAATCAAAAGTTGTATATGTGGCTAGTATGTATCTTCCAAAAATATGTATACTGTATGAGCATCGAGAGAGGCTTAGCATATGGTAAAAAATTAATCAGTAACTGAATAAAAGAGACCCGACCAAGAGGTCACCTTAACATTAAAAAAAAAAAAAAAAATTTAATGCATGTGTGTTGTAACACACCCACCTGATCGACCAATCAGATCGTAAGATCAGGTGTAATGTGAAATCGAAAAAACTAGTGATTTTTGAAAATATCGCTTATAACTCATAATTTTGCTTATGAAACTATCTTTTGCGGTATAACAAAAAAAATTCCTTGCAAACTTTTGGATATAACTAGTTTTAACTGCAATCTAACTTAACCCTAAATTAATGCTAACCCTTGCCCTAAAATTAATGCATTGATAGTTTGTTTTGATTTCACGTTACACCGGATCTTATGGGGTGCACAAAACGCATCCACGCAAAAAGATAAAAATCTATTTTTTAAACAAATTTATTAATTATTAAAGCTTGGACATGCTCTAGACACTTGTGGATACTTGGATATTTGGACATTGGACAGTACCAAAAAAGCCTTTGGACAGTCAAAACATACAACACTGCCCTACGTAGCCTCATGTAATTGTTTCTTCTACATTATCTTGATTGTTTATTATGCAAATCGACTTTCATTTATTATTGTCAAAATTTATATAAATCTGATAAAAACTCAATTTTCAAAAAATTGTAAAAATGGGCTGTTTCTATTGATAACACCCCATATATGCATAGGGGTGTAAAACACCATAGGTGCGTTTAAGCAAAAGTCAAATAAGATCTATTAATTTTTAAAAAAATTTTTACTACGTATATATATATTAGTTTATACGTATATAATTAACAAGTTGTACTCCCACTATATATTATTAATAAAAGAACAATGCATCAAACTGGCAATGAATGATAATTTCTTTATTTACATTATTAAGTAATAAAATCAATTCTATTACAGAAATGTTCTTCGGTGTGAGATTACAAAAAGTAAGATACTAGATCAAATATCTGAATTACTATCTTCCACCTTAACTCTTTTAGAAGATGGCTGTTCTGATTCATTAGTATCGATTTGATTATTAGCTACTGATTCTGCTATAACCGTCGTTTCTTCGTTTTTGCTAGCAGGAGATTGTGGCGCGACTTCAACATTAGGATTTGTATTGTCAGATATCTGAACATCTTGCATTTCAGTTGTCTCTATATCACGAAAAACATAATATTATATATTAATAATATGATAGAATATTAAAGAGTATGATTATCCTGACATACCATTACCAGTTGAAGTAGTCTCTTCAAAACTATCTTCTCTAGAACGCTTACGTCCAGTTGTTTCAGTAGGAATACTAGCAGCCTCCGTTGAAGTTGGCTGCATAGCTATTTCTGTTTCGGAAGGTTCAACTACGCTTGTTTCATCAGACTGAGACTCAGAAATGGCAGATGTGCGCACAGTTGGCTGCTCCTCTAATGGTGGTGGCGTTGATACTACGGTTTGAACGGGAGTTATCTTCGGTGATTGAGGCATAGTTAGTGGAACACGATTTCTTTGTAATTTAACTGGTGGCTTCTCCTTCGGCACATTCGGTGTAACTGCAGTTGTAGGAGGAACAGACATAGCAACTTGTTTTGAAGTTGGTGATGTAGCTGCAGCAGTAGTTCCATCGTTAGCGTCTGCGCTATTAGATGGTTGAGAGATTTCTTTAGTTTCTTTAGTCTCAGTAACATTTACAGGAACGTTTATTGGAGGCGAAATAATCGTTAATGCCGTTGATGTTGGTTGCGAAGGAGTAGGAGGTTTCGTTGGTTGCGAAGGAGAAGGAGCAGGAGGTTTCGTTGGCTGCGAAGGAGTAGAAGGAGTAGGTTGTGAGGGAGTAGAGGGTTTCG